TTTTGCTGCTCCAATATTTAAAAAATGAGCAAATACCCTCAAGATTTTCTTGAAAAATATCTTATACTTAAGTGAATGTAGAAAAATAAATAGGTACTACAAAAAAGTATTTATTTTAATAAAGGATTTTGAAAATACGTATTTTGCATTTAACATTTAAAATACAAAAGGGAAATCTATTTTGTATTTTACATTTGAAATAGCAGATCAAAAACGTATTTGAATATTAATTACTTTTTAAAAACCATTTGCACATGTATAAATTAGACTAACATTAAATACAGTTCTTGTACGTAGCTTTTTTGGTCATGCCGAATCAATTTTATTTTGTATAATTGTATCCTAATCTGCATTGTATTTTTTTGAATAGTACTGTATCCTGTCGTACATTTTCACCAGATAAGGTGAATGTAAGAAATCTGTTGAGGAACTGAGAATTCAATATTCAAGGAACCTATATTAGCCTTAACTTTCATTTTTACTTTAAGTGAAAGGAATGAAAATACTGTGTCGTTGAACAGCATGCGGTTAGGTGGTAGCACAGGCTCCAAACTGTATTGTAAATATTTAAATAATAACAATATTTCTTTTAGTTACCCCTATATAGAAAACATATTTATTTATCCAAGGATTTATCGAATGATGATATGGCCAAACTTAGAGGAAAAGGAAAGTGATATGGCATTTTTTCACTATAAGGGAAACGTAGACGTGAATGTTTAAAAGGGATTATTAGGGAACTTGTTGGCCGAATAAGATAGATAGATCAATCTCTGGAAGATAATTTTAAATTTTAAGTATTGCCTTCAAGTTTAGTTATTCATACTTTATCTATTTAAAGAAAAAAAAACAAATTTGGAACAGTAAATTCTAAGTTAAGTTTTCTGAGACACCATCTTGCATTTTATTTTATTGCGTAGAAAATGGTTTTCACAAATAAAATATAATTCCTATTTATATGTATAGATATTGTCTTAAGTATATTATTTTTACATACGAATGGTTTATCATTTTCGTGAATTAACAACTTCGATCTCGTCCTTGGGCATAAGATCGATATTACTTCTGCTCTGCTGTTGAAATCTAATATGTCTTATTCCATCAATAATAAAGTTGCGCTTTTTGGCTTGAAAATGCTTGTATGCGAACATGATTGCCATTACTGCAAATGCAAGGCCCAAAAATATTAAGGCGTACGTTTTTCCAACGTCATTTGCGGACGTTATTTCCGTGACTCTGTCCTAAAAGAAACCACATTAAGATATTTGTCAGTCACTTTTATGCTCGCGAAAGGTTAATTTAGAAACTCGAAAAACGTTGTTAAAGGTGTATGTTTGGAGCACGGCGCTGTACGGGTGCGAAACATGGACAGTGGGTGTGACGAAAAGAGAAGATTAGAAGCGTTCGAATTGTGGTGTTACAGGCGAATGATGAGGATACCGTGGATAGAGAAGGTTAGAAATGAAGAGGTATTAGAAAGAGTAAGAGAACAGAGGAAGTCAATAAGAAATAGGCGAGATAGGTTGATAGGACACCTTCTCAGGCATGAACGTCTAGTCAGAGACATATTAGAGGTAGAAACGGAAGTTAAGAGGAGTAGAGGTAGACCTAGGTTAGATTACTGTTCGCAAATAGTTAAGGATATGGATTGTTCTAGTTTTGGGGAAATGCGAAGATTAGCTCAGGATAGGAAAGAGTGGAGGTGCGTGTCCAAGCAGTTTTAGGACTGACGACCTCATAATGATGAAATTTCACATTATTTCCTTATTGAGATCGTGTGAAGTACACCTCTCGAAGGCTAGTTTTAGCTAGAAGATTCCCCAAATATGAAATTTTGTTACAATATAGGAATAATCAACAAATACCGTAATGTTTACATATTTTACTTTTGTTTAAAATAAATAAACGGTAATAATGCGAACCGATCTCATTATAGTAATAAAACAACAGTAGATGATATTAAAGAAAAATTTTTTCGAAACTTGAATTTCAAAAAGTTTTAATTTAATTTTTTTTTTATTNTAGTTTTAGCTAGAAGATTCCCCAAATATGAAATTTTGTTACAATATAGGAATAATCAACAAATACCGTAATGTTTACATATTTTACTTTTGTTTAAAATAAATAAACGGTAATAATGCGAACCGATCTCATTATAGTAATAAAACAACAGTAGATAATTACCTCAGAGTGTACTGACTGGGTTCGAATAGTATCCAAATTGGGATATCTTATTTTTTCCTCTTGAACTGCATCCTCCAGGAGTTTGATAGTAATCTTTGAATTGTTTAAAATCCCCTGAAGGGTTTGTTTGCTGCCTGTAAATTTATTTGTATCCATATTGACGGTGGTTGTATGCTGTAATCCCGATGTTGCACCCCTATTCGATAAATTAACACCGTTGTATTTTGTTAAATCTAAACCCACAATGTTGATTATCTTCTTCATGAGATTATTACTGTTATCAAGTTTGTCACTCAAATTTAATAAAACATTTGCAAGCTTTTGAAGTCCATAAGTACCGTCTATTGAATTAGATTGATTATTATTAAATATTCTGAGGGATGTGGTGGTTGTACACTTTATTCCATTAATATTCTCGGTATCAAGATTATCACCCTTTCGGACCTCAACGTTTGCAGTTTCGAAGACTCCAATTATATTAAAAAGCTTGTCACAGCTCCAGAAGTTACCTTTCAAATAAATTATTTCAAAATTTGGTAGAAGCTTTACCAATTTTTCTCCGTCTAGAGAGTTAATGTTGTTATTAGATACATCCAATGAAAACAAAGGACCTGCTGTGTGAAACCATGCCATATTCAATTGAGTAAGATGATTATTGGAAATATTAAAATACTTTAAATGTTGTAATGGTGACAGTAAACCATGCGGAATATATGTCAATAAATTGTTGGCTATGGAGAGATCATTTAGTTGTTCTAAATCTCTAAATACTGATACTGGTAAGGAATGTAATCTATTATTGTTTAATTGTAATGACTTCAGTTTCCAAAGTTTATTGAACGTAGTAGTATTTATTGATTGAAGGTTGTTGTTGTCTAATTCAAGGAGTTCCAAAGACGACAAATCTTCAAATGCGCTTGTGTGAATTACATGCAAGCAATTATTTGACAAAAATAAACGCTTAAGCTTGGTAAGGCCTCTGAGTGATTCACTTCTAATCTCTGAAATATTGTTTTCCTCTAAATGTAATTCTTCAAGGTTATTCAATCTCAGTAATAATCCGACCATTAAAACTTCTTCATCAGTTTTATTACAGCAGGAGTCAGTCAAATTGGGTAATTTCTCGAACGATATGTTGTGTTCTATCGCTCCAACGGAGAAATTACATTCATAGTCTAAAGTAATAATCTCGTTGTTAGAAATATCGAAGTATTTTATGTTTTCAAGTCCTAACAGCGATTCATATGATATTCTCTTTAGAGCATTTGAAGACATGGAGAGCCTTTCAAGTTTTGATAAATCTTTAAATAAATCCGATGCAAGTTCTTCCAACTCATTGTTGTCCAAATTAAGAGTTAGTAGCTCCGTTAGGTTGGAAAATATTCCATTACTTAACATTTTTAAACTATTTCTGGAGAGATCAATATGCCTAATTTTGCGTGTGGCAGAAAAGAGTTCGTCTGGTATCACTTCTAGTTTATTACCATTTAAGAACAACTCTTCTAAATTAAAAAGATTCTTGAAAGCGGTTTTATCAATTGTTTCTAGAACGTTTTCTGACAGATCCACAACGGATACGTCGACAAGGAAGCTAAATACTTCACCATCAATTGTAGAAATGTTGTTATTATTTAAAAATAATTTTTGTAATTGTTGTAATCCCATAAAGCAGTTTGCCTCTAACATATCAATTTCGCAATGGTTTAGATTAATTTCTTGCACTTGGTCGAATTGGTGGAAAAAATTTGTTGGAATTCGTTTTAAAATGCTATTAGATATATGAATGCTATTAAGTTGGTAACCATTATTAAAATACGAATGTAATTCCTCTGATGGAAGGTTACCAATTCCAGAACAAATTAAATTATATTTGGAGGAAAATAAGTAAAACTCTGATTCACAGTGGGCCCTGATGTTACATTCTTGTCCGGAAATAAATATAAGCACAATAGTTATTGGTAAATGATTATATTTCATAGTGTAGAACTAAAACAGAAATATTAAACTTGTTTAAACAATACATGTATGCTAAGTTAATGTAAATGCAATAACAGTAGAGGAGGTTTAGTATGCTGAATGGTGAAATGTAAAAGTATGATCTAGAGCACGGATGAGCAACATGCGGCCCGTTAAACATGTTTATGCAGCCCGCCAAACATTTCTAAAATTGAATTTATTTTATCGACTTTGAATCGAAAATGTCTTCCTCTCCATTTAATATCGATGTAGATACAGTTCTCGAAGACTTTCAAATGGAAGTTATTGACATGCAGATTAATATCGACTTAAAAAATTTATTTTTCTCAGCAAACATCAAAAATTTTTATAAATCGTATGTGAGCCCTGAGAAATTTCCGCTTTTGATGAAAAATGCAAAACAAATGATGTCTCTTTGCGGAAGTACGTATGTTTGCAAACAATTATTTTCAACCATGAAATTAATCAAAAATAACCACGATTAGAAAGCTGCGTACGTGTAGGTAGGGGAGACCGGGGATGGTTGACTAGTTTTTTACTGAATAGTTCATATTTTTTGCGTTTTAAGGTATATAGACAAGAAAAGCATGTTAATTGATAGAAAATCTATTAACCTAATAAAAATATGTAATATCTAGTTGTTAGTTCAGTATAATAGTGATGATTTAATGCATTTTACAAAATATTAAATCTTAGTCAATCTACCCCTGCCCCGGGGTAGGATGACCATATGCCCGGGGTAAGTTGACTAATGTACCAATAAGAGTCAAATCATGAGTAGGAGCAAATAATTGAGCCTTTTGTTAAAAAATAAACAACTTAAATCAGGTATACACGCATTTCTTACAATGTTATCGTAAACAGTGGTCAAGTTAGTGAAGAATAAATATACGTTGCTTTTGTTAAATGATGTAGCCCTCGATAGGCTTGTTGCTTGAGGTGATTGGATTGACAGAGAAGGATGACGTTTAAGAAAAGAGCCCAACCAATCTTCACCAGCTAACAATTTTTCTCTCCAAGAATTAGGCATAACTTTGTTATTTTTTTGCAAACTCATTTTCGGGTCTCATATGGCGTCAAGTCATAATACTCGTAAATATCTGCTGCCTTCTTTAAATAACTGGCTAAAGCTTTCTCTTCTAGATTAGTAAAAATTTGTCTATTTCTTACATATCCCACTGTGTCCAGGGTTAATTCTGCTCTCGTCAATTTCGGATTCTGTTCTAATTTTTCTTTTAATTTGGCCACGTAACGATTTAAAAGTTCAATAAAAAGTTAATTTACGTGTTGTTTTCAACTACATATTTCATTGGGGTTGGTTGAATAATTATTCAACCAGCCCCGAAAAAAATTAGTCTACCAACCCCAGACGCCATTTTTAATTTTGATCGCATGACTAGCCTAAACACTGCCGTTGCCTTGAAAAATAAGATGTGAAATATTATAAATGTGCCCTCATTAAACGCTAGGACTAATAGAAAAATGACTTACATAAAACAAGTAGGCATCAGATCAAAAAATACAATATATCAAAATATTACTTATGTGATTGAAATATGAAAAACATGTCATTGTTCGAAAACAACGCACGACCGCGATGTGGCGCATCAGACAACTGAGCGGGACGCGAAATGTAATGCTTGGCTATGATTAGATGACATAGTTCATACACTGTCGACTAGTTTTCGGTAGTTAGTCTACCTACCCCTGTAGTCAACTATCCCCGGTCTCCCCTAGCTCATCAATTCCGGTTGATATTGATCAGCTTGTATCAAAAAAACAGTGCCAAATTTCTCATTAAAAATTTCAAGACAATTCGTTTTATTGTTTTTNATTCATTCAGTCTCTCTATGAGAGACTCGAATCTCTAAAGTAACAACTCTATCGTTCGAGTCTCTCATACAAAGACTGTGAGAGATCCATAAAAACACCTAGGCAATAACTGAGAGACTGTGAGGGACGCTCTCAGAGACGCTGAAAGACTCTGAAACACTCTGAGAAACTGGAGAGAAACTGAAAATTTTTGTTTAGGGATAGCAGTAAAATTAAATGCGTCGGCTGACCATTTCAAGACCAAGCATATTTTAATAAATCCAGTGACCAAAATATTCCACCATTTCCTTTCTACTGTACGGAGGTATTAATAACTAATATGTATTATTTACGTGGGTGTTATGGGCTCAATACCGTCATTAAATATTCAATATGGCAAACTTTAACTAGCATATAAGTTGGAATCAGATGATTAAACTAGTTTAAAAATTACATAAATAAACACTAAAACGTCCCAATTTCCACAAAACGTTCAGGTAGAGAATGACACCTCGGATGTCAAAACGCGCCTAGATGTTTTGTGGAATTTCAGGTGTTTTAGTGTTTCTTTAGTTAAGTTCCACAGTAATTGATTTTCTTATGTTTAAAAATTAGAAATTTAAATGTAGTGGAACCAGTCAAACCTACTTACTAAAATGCTTTTGAAAAAAGAAAATCAAGTTACAATTTTTCATAAAGTAGGTTAACAGGCAGATACAAAGAGATCGAAATCGCGATCCGCGTCTGGCAGTTTCGACAGAATACAGACCACTTCGAATTCTTTTATTCGATTATGGTAACGTGCCTATCACGTTGAGGTTAGCTACGCCGGGATTCGTTTCAGCAAGTAGATATCCTATGCATATACAATACATCTATATAACTATTTTGATATAGATATATTGTAAAATTGTTTATGCAATGTTTTACTGTAAATAGTAATGTCAGATCTATGTACCCATAAGTGTTTTTTTTTGATATTGGAAATGATGATGATGCATGTAGGTACCGCGTATGTCGCAATACTGAGTTTACTGAGGAAGTTCTTCGTTAGAATTTTAAGAATAAGTAATAACTTTTTTTTGAACATAAATGTGAATTACATGCCAATGCTTTAACTACTAATTCACATTGTTTAAAAAAATGTTATAGTATGATCATTAAATAACAGACTATAATATATCAAATCGTGCTAGAGCTTTGCGGAAAGCTCAAGGCGAAGGGGTGTAAAAATCAATAATAATACTTTTATGATATCCATTTCTTCCCTTAATTTTTTCCTGAGATTTTAATTCAGAATCAGCGATAAGGGATCCGATCCGATGTTTCGCTTTTTGTTTTTAAGATTTCTCAAAGTTGTAATACATGTAGTTATAATAGTATTACTACTTTTTTAGTAGTTACTTATATAGATACTTATTATCTCTTGTTTATTTGAATCATTCGGATTTCTATCGTTTATAATAAAATGAATAAATTGCTTCCCAAACCCTCCTAATATCTAATAATAATCATTAATAGAAAAATTCAAGTATACGACTTGACTTCTTCATATGCGGATCAGAATTAATAAATCGGAAAATGACAGCAACAGACCGCTCGTGCCTAGCCTGCACTTTTATTTAATCATTCGAAAAACATGGCTTTCTGTTCTAAATATTGTGATTTAACGCTGCTAGATAAATTTGTGATTTTTTGTATGGCAACAGACAAAGATTTACGCTAACTCGGTACCTTTTTGGTTTTTAATAATTTTATCATTAAAAGTTCTTACAAGTGCTTAAAGTTGATGCTTTTTATAGGACAATAGAAATAAAAAAATTAAAAAATGGCCTTCGACAGGCTTTAGAACAATGCTTTATATACAGTACTACAAAATTTCAAATCTCTATTCCAAATATTAAACTCATGATATTTAGAACCGATAAGCATGTTTTTACTCTACGGCGCGTGTACTAGTGAATCCCCTTAAGAATGACATTCGCTGTTACTTGAAGGAGTCAGTGATTATTTTACATTTGGTTAGCTATCTATTGCACCAGACTTGGAAAGCTTTTAATGAGAGATACCCCAAATTGCCACCAATGAGTAGAAAGAAATTGAGAAGAATTTTAAAGAATCAGTTACAATATAATCGAACTAGTGTGGAATGAATTCTAAAAATTTGATTGTATTTTAACCAGAAAAAATATATTTACACAAGATTTTTTATGTCCGTTAAAAATGCCAAAAATGTCAAGGCTTTCATTTTATAGTTCATTTAGTTTTTAGTAGATAATACCCTACAGTAATAATTAGTATCAATCTGTTAGTAACGATAGTTAATTAACATTTTGCTGTTTTTTTAATTATCGTTAGAGGAAAATTATTCAATCGATATGATTACCAAAAAGAAGTGACGAATGAATAGACTTTATATCTTACTAATTTAAAAGACGTCTACCCAAATTTTTCTTCAAATAAATAATTATACATAACCATCTCAATATCGTCATCTAAAAAGAAAAATGTAAG